TTAATTCACCGAGGAAAAGAGAATAAGGGGGTATATATACCCACACAAATGGAAAGAGGGGGCTAAAAAATAATATATTAGAACAAATATTAATTACTTTAATTTTATCTTATATTTAGGGTTAAAAAATTTTTTAAATCCCGTCTTATATATTAAACACATGAGAGGATATCCGATTGAGTTTTGAAATAATAGAGCTGGAGAGGGAGAGAGAGGAGGGGTGGCCGATGATGACCCCACCTCAGAAGACAATCATTCGTGACAAAGACAGAAGATAGCCTTTCTTCTTTTGATACAAGACAACCTCACATGCTGAGGCGATCTGATAATGACAACTTAAATTAATATAATGTGTGCTGTTTATTATATTGGATTTACTGTGTTGATCCCATAATCATATCTGAGTACCGAACTGAGTTTCGAATGCATTTCTTTTTGTTGCAAAGGGCAAATATATTAAAAAAAAAAAAAGTCAAGAGGACATGCTGATTGCTGAAGGCCAAAACCTTTAATTTCGTGCATGAGGATAGTGACAACTCAATAATTTATTCAGAACTTAGGTCTTATTCTTGTTTCATTAATTCGTTGAGCAAGTTAGGTATCCATGTGTGTCTTTAATCCTTGTTTAAAGTGTAAGGTTGCTGCACATTAAAAGTGAACTCTTTTAATAATTATACAACATTATTGAATTAATGACGTTCTACGAAACATAAATTTATAGATAATGGTCATAACAATAACAGTTAAAAAGGAAGCCAAAACAATTACTAGTGCAAATTGTGAAATTTATTTTTTTAAAGAAAAATTAAAAATAATTTATAAGTTGGTAATTGGATTTCTTTAACTTTTCATTTCTTTTTACGTTTTCGGTATGCTTGCGTTGCATTCCCTATTTCGTTTCTATGTAGCTGCTTTGCGTGTTTGTATCTGCTTCCAACCTCAATGGTTCACTTTTCGTTTTAATATAATGAATTTTCACTTTATATATATATATATATATATATATATACTTCAATAGCTTTGAATTCAACTTTAATTAATGTTTTTCATTGTTGACTGGATCAGATCGAAGATAAAAGTCAGTTTGGGGTTGTGCGTAAGATTAATAAAGCTAGCGAATAACCCTTTATCAAAAAAAAAAAAAGATAAAGCTGGTAATAACCTATATTTTAACAAAAATATAATGATTCTTAAATTATAGCATAAACTTATATATACATTGACTACTATGGAGTGGTCTTGCTACGGCGCACATGGCCAAGGTCAGGCTGCCTGCTAGGACCCACTATGGGTTTCTGTTGAGCTTCGTCTTTGTGCCACCATGAGATTGGTCAGCATAAATTTTTCTTTTTTGAGACAATGGCTATTTTGTTAAAAATATAAAATATTTTTAATTAAATTTCATCTCTTAATAAAATAGTTACTTATTTTTAAATTAATCCTATCTTTTTATATTTATTTCTATTAAATATCCTATAATATATATAAAATCACTATCAATAAGGGTACTTTTAAAAAAAATATAATGATTATATCTCAAAAAACTAAAAATACCTTATATTTTTGAACATCCAACTCTTCAAAAAATACCTTACATTTTTAATGGAGGGAGTAAATATTTAATCTTAAGTATGTTTAATATAAAAAAATCTAACATAATATCATGAGCCAATCAATTGGAGACAAAAAAAGGAGAAAGAAAAGAAAAAAAATGTAAGAATAAAAGATGAAAAAAAAGATGTTAAAAAAAAGAAAGAGAGAAGGAGAAAGAGAAGAATGAAATTCAATAGATCTCAAATTTTTGAGACTAAAAAAGTACAAGCTTAAGCAAGAAGAAGAAAAGAAAATGAAAAAAAAAAAGTAGTAAAAAAAATATTAGAATATAAAAAAATCTCACATTTAAATATTAAAAAATAAATCATAAATATATAAGATTAGAAAATATTTAACTAAATAATTTATTCAAATAATTTATTTTTTACATGCATTTGTACAAATTATAATGTTAAACTTGTCATGTTCTTTACAGTAATTGATTGTTAACAAAAATATGCCAACTTCCCAGCAGCTGTTCATTTTTATATAATATATAATATTTTCATAATTTTTAAAAACGGAAGGCATCATGTTCCCAGGCCCTGCATTTATCAATTCATCTCTTTCTCTCCCTATGTTACGAAAAATTAGGCCTTATTGCTGAATCAATGTTTGCGAATTTCTATTCCATCTTTCTTTAATTTATCCTACGAATCCAACTACCCCGCACTCCCCTGCCACTCTCATTCTAAATCTACAACAAGGGGTCATCAAACTTGTTCCCATCTTAATCCACCTGATTTCAATCCAATTATGTAAAAACGGGTTTGTCCCAACTTAAAAATATTTGGACGTGACCTTACACGACAAGATACAGGATTACTATCAAAACATCCCATTCGTCTGGCTAAATACATTATGATATTTTTTATTTTCTTTGTTAGTATTTAATACATTATTTATTTATTCAATTAGATATAATCTTTTGTTTACTTATTTTATTTTCGTTTTACACAGTCATCTACTTATTTAGGCTATGTAATTCAATGATTCTAGCATTGTTATGATAAAATTATTTTTCAAAATATATAGAGAAAATGACAAGTAAAGATCTTAGAAGAAAATTAATGTCAAATTTTGAATTTTGATATTGAAACATAAAAGAAACAATAATGAATTTGGAAACTTTAGTGTTGAAGAAATTCTAATTGGAAAAATTATGCATGTCCCATACAACATACTTATTTATAAACAAGTCTTGCAAAATTTAGAAACTACAACTAAATTCTTTGAAACTTGAGTGTAATTTGAATTTGAGGTACAAAAACAATACTGTCCTCATTAATAATATTGAATTTATAATTGTAAAATATTGAAATGTGAGTTGTAAATTACTAAGGTGGCTGTAAACAATTGTATTAAACTTTGTTGGCAAAACATAATCGATTTAACTATTAAATACATGAAGTTATTATTGTAGAATATTGAAGTGATCGTTATAAATTACTGATAATGTAGTTGTATACAATTAGTATTAAACTTGTAATGCAAAATTAATTTAACTATTGAATACATGAAGTTATAGTTGTAAAAAGTTAAAATGATAATTGTAAATTATTGATAAAATAGTTTTAAATTATTTATTTGATATAATTATTATTAATGGAACATTATTGTCTTTGCATTTTAATTTTAAATTACACTTAAGTCCCAAAGAATATAACTGTTGTTATTTATTTGTAAATAAATCTACTTCATAAGACTTATACATAATTTTTTCATTCTAATTTAACATTATTTTTTGGGGTCCTTACTTGTCATTCTCCTAAATATATAAAATAATTTTAATAAAACAAAATTGTCGATTTATCATTAATTTTTTTGAAAAAATCAAACAAACCTTTAGTGCGGTCTGACAATCACGTTCCTAAGTTATAACTAAAGAAAGAATCGAACGAAGACCCCACCCATTCTGATTTTGTGCCAAAAAGAGAAAGGAGTGACGTACTCCACATCACCGGTTGCCACATATTCTTTTGCTAATTTTTTAAATCACCGCAGTCTATTGACTTATTATGATAAAAGACTGAGTGACATGGATGGTTAATTAATTATGATTGGTGACCGTAACAAGTTATATGCGCACCCTTCGTTAGGCCGGTCCTTTGCTGGGCAAGTCTTCAAATTCAATTTAGGATTAAATATCCAACAAATTCTTACCCATCCATGAACACCCATTATTTTTAAGTGAATAACAGTAGTAAATGATGCATAATATTGATGAAATGAATGTAAAAGTGTTCAAACTATTAAATTTGACTAATACTTATTAACCTTGATCATTAAAAAAAGGAAACAAACATAAAGTGTAAAAATACATAATGTTTATTTAGGTGCTTCTAGTATCTTCCAATCAACAATAGTGTATAAATATCTATTAACTTTATAAAAGAAATCATCTAATCAAGTTTGACTCTAATAATTTATGTTTTGAGCTTATTCGAGCTGGTCCGAATACTCAAATTGTAAAATATTATTTCATTTTATTTTTTCTTATTTAGTTAATTTCAATTGTTATCTTAACCCCAAAGCTTGATAATAAGATTTTTCGAACCTATTCAAACTGCTACCAGGTTTGGTCCAAATGACTAGATCTAATATTTTTCAATCCATTAAAATAACTTGTGTTCACCCTGAAGTTTTAATAATAGAACTTAATGGATTGGAGAAGATTGACTTATTTTATAAAATTAATGGCACCTATACATCACTATTAACTTTAAAATACTAGAAATTCCTAAAGAAAAAGTTTATAAGTATTTTTACATTTTATATTTACTTTTTTTTATTTGAACTGTCAATGTTAAAAAACGTTAGTTAAATTTAATGATTTGAAAACTTTTATACTAATTTTATTAATGTCATGGGCACTCTTACACTATCATTCACTCAAGGATATTAGATACCTTTAAAGAAAAAGTTTGTAAATATTTTTGCCATTTAACTCATTAATTAATACAAGGTTCATGATATTCACATATTATACTGAAATAAAGCGTAAAAAAATACAACAATTAATATATAAGTAAAATGAAAAAAAATTACAATTACTAAATCGTTTATGTACCTATCGTTTATGTATCTAAGGCCATCAAGATTAGTTAGGATTAGGAGACCAAAAGCGTATATTTTTGAGAGGAGGGAGTGGTATATAAAAGACAATTGGCCTTCATGGGCCCCATGGTATATGGGTGTTGAACTTTTGATTTCCAATCCACTGTCGATGCACATGTCGTGTAGTGTTTCTTTGATTTCCGGGTCCTGAATTCGCCACCGCCCTCCACCTTGACACAGAACTGTAGGATGTTTATTTATATAATTTTAAAAAAAGGAGAAAAGTAATCAATACTCAACGTGATGCCTCTATAAAAAGCCGCCCAAAACACCACACATTCTTCACTCTTCTTTCCCTCTCTCTGTTCTGATAGAAGCAGACTAGCAGAAACTCCCTCCCTCTTCGTTCCGTTAGAATCAACTCTTTGTTCTTTGTAGATCTCCGGCGTCAAAGATCTGAAGCAATCCTTGGCCGACCCACAGGTAAACTCTCCCTTCCCTGTATGCATGCTCGAATGTCACCCTGCATTTTATCATTTTCTGCTATGATTTCTTCTCTTACGTACAGAAACTGATCGTTAAAAACAACGCAGATCCATTCTTCTGATGTTTTTGGATTCGAATGTTTATTTCTCTATCTGAGTCTCAAGTAAAGCGGTAATCGTGCTCTGCTCAGTCTTCCATTCTTTCTGTCTCGTCGGTGCTCTGTCACCATTATCTTTGTCCAGCGCTTCCATCCTCGCCCCTTTTTTACCGAAATCATATTGGTTGTTTAGATTGTATGCTTCCATCTTCCAGTCTGAAGTTTTTAATGTTTCCATTATGCTCTGTTCTGGGTTTTTTCGGGTTGGAATGTTTATTTCTCTTTCTCCGTCTCAAGTAAAATGGTGATAACGCTGCTCAGTCTTCCATTCTTTTTATCCTGCTCTGTTTGCTTTGATTTTTTGTTTTTGGACTGGTTCTGCTGCACCGTGGCCTGAACGGGGCAAAACCGATACTTGATGGCTCGGCTCAGAGCCGCGGTCTGGGAACATTCCCCGGCGCCGCTGCCGCCATTCATCGGACATCTTCGCTGCCCTGAGGTGGCGAGATTAAGGGAACAGAGAGAAGTGGATGACAGGGGTGCTTGAACCACCATGGTCCTCATCTCCGCCCCGTCTTCATTCCCCGCTCCGTAACGTAGTCATGGGCTTCCGATTCTGTTGTTTGTTGGATCTGTCACTGTTTTTTCTTTTTTTTTTTTAGAATCAGTCACTGTTTGTTGTTAATGCAGGGATGAGTTCTTCAAATAATTCAGGGGGAAACAACTTCATCGGAAATTATTTAGGCTATGGACGAATCTCTGGTTCAGACAACAGCAGCGGCAGCGGCGGCGGCGGCGGCGGCAATGGAAATAATTCAAAGGGGTCAGGAAGTACCAAGAATCAGATAGGGCGCCTGCTAAGCTATGGGAGTCCGAGGCCACCTCCACCCAAAAAGTAAACAATGCTTCTTGTCTGATAGGCTCCGTGTGTGTGTGTGTGTGTGTGAGAGACTTTGTATGAGGATTGTGTTTTGTTTCTGTTTCGTTGTTTCTCTGGTTCTGTTTCATTGTGTGTTTCATGGTTTTATTTAGACTGGAGGCTATATTTCATGAAGCATTGTGTGAGGATTGTTTGTTGTTTCTGGTTTTGGTCTTGTAGGCTTTGTAATGTGTTTTGAGTAAGTTTCATCTTAAACAAGAATTCCAGTTTCATCTTATACTTTAATTCCATTGATGAAGAGCTCAAAATCTAGCAACAGGAAAGCAAAGGAGGAGCAGAGAAGACGGAGAGGAGGAAACTACAGTATAATGAAACACCAAGTATTTTTGATCGCTGATAACATAAACTAATCTTCCCAAAGATATTATGGCAAAAAAGTAATTAGCCCTTCGTAAATAAATTTATTCTAACTGCAAAAACTGTAAATGAATCTCCAACCAATTAAGAGAGAGAGAGAGAGAGAGAGAGAGAGAGATAAGGATTCCTATTACTTTTTTTTTTTTTCAATTTGTTGCCATCAAAAATTTCTGTTACTCAAACCAAGTTAAATTATATATGTGCGTATTATACATATCGTACTGGACATGTTATAGACTTGCAATGCTGTATCTGACTGAGTTTGGAATGCATATATTTCCTTTTTGATTAAATTAAAAAACAGAGAGAGATTCCATCGGGAAGAAGAAAACAGAGAGAGAGAGAGGAGATGAGGCAGAAGAAAATGTAGGAAAAAGCTGAAATAAAAAATATGAGGAGGAAAAGAGAATAAAAGACGATATATATATATATACACACACATATACGCATATATATATATATATATATATAGACACAGAGAGAGAGAGAGAGAGAGAGAGGAGATAATTTAGGCTTTTACTTTTGAGTTTTGATTCACGAAGTGGGTCTTCTATTCTAATAGGAAGCTCAATTTATTTACAAAACCTAAAAAAAATTTCTGCAATTCATTGAAATTCCAAAGCCGCCCCAGGCCAAGACACGCCCCCAATTTCATAACACAAAATAATGGTGTTTGTTTTGAATTGAGACAGAGAACCATGAGAAATTTGTAGCATACTGTAGACAAAAATTGTTGTGATTTATATATATAATAAGAGTTCATTGCATGGATTAGTGTTATAAATAGAAAAACTACAATCTGGCAAAAAAATAGTCTAAGCAGAGGTTAATTTTGATTAGATAACGAGAGGGAAAAAAACTTAATTATATTATTTATTTTGCAAGAGGTTAATATGATATATGAGTAATATTACTTTTTCGATTTTCGGGCATTCTTCTTTGAGTTACTTAGCTAGCTTTCCTTCTGCTTCCAGTTTTCCATTCGCTTTTCTGGTCATTCTGAGAGTCTTATTCATTTGTCGTATTGGAGAATACCAATTGCCTCATCAACACCAATTCCCATTACACATACAGTACACTTCTTAAATAAGATCCATGCTTTACAATAATTATTTCTAGCAACGTTTATTTTAGTGTTATTATTAGTACTGATGACACTATAAGGAGGCCATAAAGAAAAAATGAAAAAAAAAAAAGAGAAATGGACAATAATAGGGAAATTATATGGTTTTTGATACCATATTCTCTGTAAAAAACAAGGTTCCCATACTCTTCTTCAGCATACATCTTTTAAATATATCTAGTTTAATATATAATTAAATACCCCACTAATGTTTATTGAAGAGCATTACGGGTTGATGACCGATGTGTAAATTAGCCGACCAAAAGAATGTTAGCAGTCATAGCTGAGTTAATTATTATTCTTTTTAATAAACTTGGGCATGCAGAAAAGAAGAAAAGTGACAAGAGAGATTTGAAAGAGGGGAAGGGCCACAAGCGTTGAGGAGGGCGAGAGAGGGGAAAACAAAAGCTATCAAATCTGCCTGATTTCCTGATTGGGCATCTGGTAAGATTGTGTTTGTTTTTAAGCTAAGAAAGTGGGCCTTCTTGTACTTGTCCCTACAGGCAGAACCACATGATCGGTCATACGAAACTAAACCCTATATATATATATATATATATCCTGTGGATACAAGGATAGGATTTGGTGCGCGTGGCTCCATCATTGTGAAAGGTTTAACAATAGAATCTTTTCTAGCCTTTTGCGTTGAAACAAGACAATTCTAAAATACATGGCCTAATTAAAGCGCACTAAGGCAAATAAAAAATGTGCTTCTTTTTTATCCTAATTATTTAAAATGTAGAATATGTGCAATGCACTATTCCAACCAGTTGAAATTCAAGAATGAAAATTTCAAAGCAGAGAAACACCAAAATAGTCTGTTCAAAAAAAAAAGAGAGAAACACCAAAATAGAAATCAAGTGTAGCAGGCGTCTGACCTACAGACAGTGTCGGACCCAGAAAAATTACTTTGTGAGGGCAAAATTTGTGCATGATATAAATTAATTATAACTTTTTATTAAATTATACTAAATATAAAATTTAAAAAATTAAAGGCTATTAAAGAACTATGCATAAAATATGAAATTATAATAACATAAAAATTATATATCTATTAGAATTATGTTTTTTATTTTAATTAATAAAAACGTAACTCTTTTGAATTTTGACTAATAAATGTGGGTTCACTTGATAATGATTTAGTTCATAATCCCCTAAGGCTAAATTTTTTTGTGCCAACAAAATTTAACTCTTTTGTGTAATACACATTTTTTGTGATAATTTTTTTCAATTTAAACAATCAAAGAAAATTATTTTCTAAACTATTGCTCCTTTCTTTTTAAAACTCTTTCTATTTAAAGCTAAAACATAAAAATAAGATCTTGGTCAAGTAAAAATTTTAGGAAATTAGTGAAATTTTGTGTGGGGCCACATGAATTTTTTTTTAATTTTTTGAGGGGGTAGGCAAGCTAAAATTTTTAAATGGGGAGTAACATATAATAAATACTTTTTATGCTTACCAAGGAACAAAACTCCCTCGATCTTCACTAATCTCTCCCTGATGTTAGAAAGGGATTGTATCCTTGCTAATATAAGATTATTTGTTAATGTTCCTCATTCAAATGTAATTTTTGCCTTTTAGAGATGTCAAAAATTATTCCTTTCTGAGTGTCTGGCTAATTTCTCATTTTTAGCAAGGAATATAATATTTCCTTCTAATTTTCCTCACTAATATAATTTGATATTATATTAGTGAGGAGTAAAATCCCTTTCAGAGGAATAAAATATTCTTCACGGATATTGCTAAATTATATTGTTCTTGCAGTTTAATCCTGCAGGATTTGAACCACCAACTCCTGAATTATTATCTCTACAGGTTGGAAATCTGGTCTGAATTTCACAAGATGTGCTAGACAATGTGCCTCGCTTGCAAAAATTTAAAAATAAATAAAATGGTGCACTCATGTCAAATGTGAAAGGATTCGAGTTGAGCGGCTGACACGTATCCATGTAAACATGCATGCATGGAATGATCACGCAGTCATTGTCTGATGCATGTGGGCCCCACGGTTCCGCCACCCTGCTCCTATTCTTTTTTTTTTTTTTTGTGGGGGGGGGTGTTGTTGGGACGAAGCCTCTCCCAATCTTTTGCTTCTACATTCACGCTCTCCATTTTTTATCATAACATTATTTTATTTCATTCTACCAATACAAAATTACCTATCAAACGATCTTACATTCCATTGTTTAGCAGGCTTGTCAACTGCACTGGCCAAAAAAAAAACAAAAGAAAAAAAGCAAGCTTGTCAACTGTGGGAATTTTTTTATTGAAAAAATGACAATCAAGGACCTTCAAGGATCATTAATTACAATTATGGACACTAAATTATATAAATCTCAATAATAGACTATGATTCTTACTTGAAATTAAATACATGTATAAGTTTACAAAATTACCTTCCACTTAGAATAAAGAAATAACATTACTAAAGTTACTATCATGGGATGAGAATATTTTTAATCTCAGCTGGAAAACTAATGAACAATCGTGGGGAATGGATTGTTTTCTAATATAAAACTAAAATTCAATTTCAACGTTTTCAATGGTACTTGTGAATATACAATAGTCACTTAAAAATATACTAAAATTACTTTTGAATATGAACCAAATTGATTGCGAATTTTTATACTTGTTAATGTGTAAGTAGACCACTTGAAAAATAAAGAAATAATACTATTAAAATTATTATCATGGAATAAGAATATTTTTAATCTCAATTGGGAAATCAATGAATAATAGTTGAGAATGGATTGTTTCTCGGTATAAAATAAAATTTACTTTTGAAACTTTTCAAAAATACTTGTGAATATATAATAGTTACTTAAAAATTTATTAAAATCACTTCTGAGGAACATTTTAGACTATTCATATTTTTTAGTTTCAAGTAAGGACCATGATTTGTTGTTAAAATTTCAATAATTTAAGGTCCCTAATTATAATTAATTGCCTTAAGAAGTCCTTCATTGTCATTTTCCCCTTACTATTTCTATCTTGATCCTTTCTTTTCTTTTTCATTCCTTTTCATCAAAATACTCCCTCTGATGATAAATATAAGACATTTTTAATAAAACTATATTTCTCATAAGTTAGTTAATTGTATTTAAACTGGTACTATTTTTTTATATTTATCTTTATTTATAAGATGTATTACTTCAAGATGAAATGTTGAGTGATTTAGACATTTAGTTATTAAAGGTATTTTTTTAAAAAAATTATTATCTACACTTTAAAAAATTAAAAATACTTTAACATCTAACTTATAAAAAATATTTTATATTTTTTGAGGGAATACATTCTTTCTACCAAACAGGCCTGTCCTTTTTTTTTAGGGAGGGGACGTTAATACAACTTTGATTAAAAACTCTTTATCTTTTTTTAACTTTCTAACGCCTGGGTGGTTTTTTTTTTTTTTGAGCCAAGCGGGGGCCTCCCTTTCAGACTAACCTTTGTCATTGATAAATGGGCTTACGAGGCCCAATTAGTCCACGAAATCAGTCTCATTCTCTATGTGGTCACGTGTATCTCATTCCTTTCCTTCTCTCCCCAATCATTAATCCATGCCCTTATCCTCGCACTGAAAATTTTGGAAGACTTCTGGAAAAAAAAAAAAACAAAAAACAAAGAAAGAAAGAAATCTCCGACGCAACTGGAAATAAACCCGTCGCAAATAAAAATTTCAAATTTCTCAAAGTTTTTGAAAAAAATGACATAAAATTTTGTGAAATGTGTAAATAAC